GTCCAGATGAAGCCACTCATCAACTTCATTTGCAGACAGTTTTCCAAAGACTTGTGACACACTCCCTCACACTCAACTTGCCGAAGTGTCAGATTGGAGCCACTTCCCTGAAATTTTTGGGACATAGGATAGACAAAGATGGAATTTATCCGTTACCTGACCGGGTAGAAGCTATTCAAAACTTCCCTCTACCCACTTCTCCCAAGGCACTACGCACCTTTCTCGGGATGGTTAGTTACTACCGTCGCTTTATCCCACAGTGTGCTCATATCGTGACCCCCTTGACTGACATGCTTAAAGGGAAATGCAAGTCTTTGGTGTTCACTAAGGAAGCCTCGACAGCTTTTGCAGCTATCAAGAAAGCTATTGCTGACGCCACAATGTTGGTCCATCTAGATGTTCAACTTCCAATCAGCATCTCCGTAGATGCCTCTAATACTGCGATCGGAGCCGTCCTTCAACAGCGTATGGCTAATGTATGGCTACCGATTGCTTTCTTTTCACGTAAACTTACCGCATGCGAATCTCGATACAGCACATTCGGTAGGGAACTTCTCGCTGTCTACGCTGCTGTCAAGCATTTTCGTCACTTCGTGGAAGGCCGGCAATTTACGGTATTTACCGACCATAAGCCATTGACGTACGCCCTCCACACTACTTCAGACCGGTATTCACCGCGAGAATCACGCCATTTAGACTATATTTCCCAGTTCACTTCTGATATCCAGCACGTTTCTGGATCGGATAACGCGGTAGCAGACGCTTTGTCTCGCGTATGTGCTACGTCCGTACCACCAACCATCGATCTTCATAAAATGGCCGAACTCCAACTGAACGATTTGAACTTAGAACACCTGTCAAATAAAACCTCACTGAAAATAGAACGCGTCCCCTTGCTAAACAGTGAGGCAACTATACTTTGCGATATGTCAACTGGTACTCCTCGACCGATTGTTCCCACGTCTTTACGCCGAACTGTGTTTGAGTCACTCCACAACCTCTCCCATCCTGGCATACGAGCAACGGACAAGTTGATTTCTGCGAGATTTGCGTGGCCCGGTATGAACCGTGATGTGCGTCAATGGACACGTGCTTGTGTGCAATGCCAACGTGCTAAAGTCACCAAGCATAACATCACGCCGTTGGGGACGTTTGCGACCCCAGACGCTCGGTTCCATCATATCCACCTGGATATAGTAGGGCCTCTGCCCCCGTCTAACGGCTGCTCGTATTTACTCACATGTGTGGATCGTTTCACACGTTGGCCGGAAGCCATTCCGATACCTGATGTAACGGCTCAAACCGTCTGTCGTGCCTTCATGGATGGCTGGGTTGCCCATTTTGGATGTCCCGCAACTGTCACTACCGACCGCGGACAACAATTTGAATCCACAAGCTTCAAAGAATTGTTAGAGATGCTGGGATGCAAACGCATTCGCACAACCGCGTATCATCCCGCGGCAAATGGCCTAGTAGAACGTTTCCACCGTCAACTCAAAGCTGCGTTGATGGCAGTGGACAACAGTAAGTGGACAGATTCGCTACCACTGGTCCTGCTTAGCATCCGGGCTACGCTTAAGGGGGATCTGCAGTGCTCGCCAGCTGAATTGGTGTACGGTACCACCATGCGTTTACCAGGCGAGCTAATCGCTCCCGAAACTTTCGAGCCAAATTTCCCGGATACCACCCGTTACGCTCAGCAACTTAAAAGTTTTATGCAGCGACTCCGACCAGTTTCCACACGCGCTCAGAACCGAAAGGTTCAGGTTGATCGGCGACTTGATGACTGTACACACGTTTTCGTGCGTCACGACGCCATACGAAAGCCATTACAACCACCGTATGACGGGCCTTTTAAGGTCCTTAGTCGTAAAGATAAATTTTTCGTTATTGACCGATGCGGCCGCCCAGACACTGTCAGCATAGACAGACTTAAAGCGGCATACACTGAAGAACCTTCACCCTCCCCATCGGCTCAATCAAATAGCCCCACTGAACCTAGTCCTTGTCCAGACTCAACTACTTCACCTCCGGTGGTGAATGATGATTCTCCTACCGTCACCAGTAAGACCCCTGTCACACGTGCTGGTCGACGTGTTCACTGGCCCAAGAGGTTCGTAGAATTCTTTCACTGAACTAATCCATAGGTAAGGCTACTAGTGATTTTTTATTCCTTGTCACAATTTCTTATTCAATTCTGCTATATTTAATCTATTTGGTCCCGCTTCTGGGAGTAGTCGTTTTAACCCTCACTAATCCTTTTAATCTTTATCTCTCGTTACAGAGGACCAGCAGCAGTTTGTTTTTACCCCTAATTTTTCATATCAATCTACTCGCTAGATCAGTTGGCGTCTCATGTCATCTTGTAACCCACACCAAAAGAGGAATTATGAATAGTATATTACCTTTCCAAAAAAAAAATTTAATTATTATGTAAAAAAAAAATTTTATAAAATATATTTAAAAAAAAAAGTAAAAAAAAATGTAAAATAATAATAAATAAACAAAAAAATTATTTTTAAATAAAAAAAAGATTATAAAAAAAAAACAAAAAAAAACTTCCACTGTATAGTTAAATGTACAGATATACATATTTTTTTTTGCGCATAAATGCTTCACTTCTATGCTGTACATAGTAATTCGCTCAATTTATTTTCACAGCCTGTACTATATTCCTTCGGGTTTATGCCCTCCCGCAATTCATTTATTTTGTGAACCGTACTTATAAACATTATGCATCATCTTAGTTATGCACTTAGCAACATGAACAAAGTAATTTTGGTAATGATAACTACTCATAGCTATGGGTTATGTACTAACTTCTCTGTAATTTTATAAGTTCTCACAGGGTAGAAACTTCCTTTGTTTTATCTCATTCTAACGTACTACTTCCAAGTTGCACCACTTTTCCTCGCATTGATTTCGCACAAGCTTTTGTAGTACCTTTACACCGATTTTGAAATCTTAACCTTTCTTTCCCATTTTCTTCTGTTTTTTTTTTACCCTGCTCCTTATCATACGCTGGTATAATGATTGCCTTTAACATGACTGCTAGGTTCTGTTGAAGCGGAGGAAGGGAGCATTGGTCTAATATGAAAGTTAGACATAATGAATCACCTTCTTGCTACGACAGCCTCGGCGCCAGAGGTTTACCATCAAACCTCCACATAAGTAAGCTTGTAATAGTGCGGAATTAAAAAAAAAAAGAATGAATCGATACAATAAAAAAATAAATAAAAAAAGATTAATAAAAATATGAAAGACAAAAAAAAAAAAATAAAAAAAAAAACATCAGACCGCAGAAGCTTACAACCACACAAGGCACCAGCGCCATTTCTTATCATATTCCGTCTTACTTCACTAATCATGTACATACCACTTCCAACTTATCTTAATTTTTTTCTCTTTTCTTTTGCTTTCTTTCCTTTCGGTGAAATTTCTTTTTTTTACTATTGCTATTTTCAAACCTTCTCATTCACCCATTGCTACTGTGCCAAGCCATCCTACTGTTGTATATCGAAGCTTGCTGGTTTCCCACCAACCTTCTAGGGGGGGATAACCTGTAGTGCACATTGTACCTTTGAACTTTTGTTTAAACTGACTCACCCACGGTGATCCACGTTTTACCTTTTGACTTGTGAGTCTTCCTTACGTTCATAGGTTCGCTCTCTTGTTGTGCTCTCCTTCTGCACACTCTCCGAGCCTACCTCCAGCAACGTCTGCAGATAAGTTGTACGACTTCTTTATTTATTGAATTTTATATTTCGTCGAATAAAATATAATTCTCCCAGGTACTCTTGTCACATCAAGTCTTTTTACAACGATACAGTTCGTCAGTATTTGCGCGTCCAGTAGTGTACTGCTAAGCTTAGTAGGTCGCCAAAACGGTGAAGAAGTTTGTAAGGGTGTTTAGAGTATAGGTCCACTCTAAGCCGTAGTAGAACTCTTACAAAGTCACTAGCACAGTGACAGCTACCGAATCTTCTATCGCGCCTCCCAAGAAAACCCGTTCTGGACGTACCGTAAGGTTCCCAGAATATCTGCACTCTTATTTGACTTCACGACGTCGTGTGATTCACGCAACTCATTCGTTTGTGGTACTGACTATTTTTTTTTGACGTATCAATTTTTTTTTATATACAGTACCACCGAACACAAAAAATTTTTTTCTCAACAGTTCATGTAACATACACAAAAAAAATTAATTAGATGTATTTTTTTTACGATGTTCTGAACTTAGCATTATTTTACTGTATAGTAAATGCACATAATTTTTTTTAACCAAAAAGCCCATTTCGTACATTTTCCTCGACATGGTTCTTAGCGTTCTTGTTTTCTTTTCCAGGTGCGATGGGCACTGGACGGGAAACAAACGAAGCACGGAATCCAACGAACAACACCAGGAAGCTATGTACAAACACCCTATTAGCATAGGCAGACAAACCAGTAGGCACCCCACCTAGCCGCTCGGAAGATTTTTTTCACCCGAAAGGGAACCATCCAGTTTTTTTTACTTCCGGCTGGTTCTGTCTTAGGGTCCTCACGACGGCTTGTTTTGGTTCCTAAATATATATCTTGGTTTGGACGATCAATAATTGGCTTTTGCTTTGTCTTTGGTACGCGAGAATAAATTAATAAGAAGTTGTTGAACGAGATATCCGTCAACCTTTAAAGACTGATAATTCCATTCTGGATACAATTTATTCTGCCATATTTACTGGTGACGTTTCGAGGAAAAATTATTGTCCATAGTCATATCAAGGAACTCACATAACTTTTCATCTTCATTTAAAATCAAAGGAGAAAATATGTTGCTGTGGACTATTGGTTCTCACACAGACGCATCAACTCTTGGAAACGACCCCAGAATAAACGGTATCAACACCCCAAATTGATTTATTTGAGAAGGATTTGCACAAGCAAAGAATTCATTTGGAAGAGGATTAACATAGGCTTCAAGCTTTTTATTTGCAATCAACAAGTCTGCAACAATCTGTTGAATATTGTAAAGTAGTAACCACGATTTTGAGAGTGCGTTTTGTAAACCCATACGTTACTTCTACTGTAATGTTGTTCACCTCGAGATGTTCGCAGCAGTAGTAGCTGGACGATTAGTAAGACTTAAAGACATTAAAATCGAATTCCAGGTACAAACAAACTTCAACAGGGTAACAGAGACCCAGTTCTTATTGGATTTATTACCGCTAAACGATGTAAATCATATTGTCGTTTTCTTGACGGGAGAAATTCCATTTCCACCGAACATGGGTGGAGGTGGTAAGTTAGTATACATTTTTAATCGACAAACTTCCCTAGTTTATCTTGGAGTACAGCAGAATGGGGCGACTAACTGGTATTTCCTAGGTGTATTGACGAACGAACGACCTAGCGCCATTTACAAGATCGGAAAACTTACTCAAAGTTAGTACTGAATAATTTTAGAGTTCTTATTGAGTGAAATCCTTTCATCAGTTATTAACGCATTATTGTCAGTCAACCTTTCACGTTTTTAAAAAGATTTTGACTGGCTATAGCCAGTCACATTCATATTATAAGTATAAAAGGCTTTTGTTGTCTATCTTAATCCTCGAAATATCTCTCTCTGCAGAGATCCAGTTTCTCTTTGAAAGCGTTCACCGATGGAGCTGTTACTACTGAATCAGGCAAGGAGTTCCAGTCGCCGACCACTCTGAGAGAATCTAACCTCCACACATATTTTATTCGACCTCGGTTTGAGCACCTTTTTGGTGACCTTGTGAATGTATCCTAGAGGGAGAGAAGAGATTTGAAAGGTCAATCCCTAAATCACCCTTGAATATACGGTAAGCCAAAATTAAGTCATCTCTCCTCCTTCGGTATGATAATGGGAAGAGATTTAAATGCTCCATTCTCATATCAAAAGGAAGGTGTGAGATACCATTAACTAATTTGGTTCCTACCCTCTGTACTGTTTACAGGATATGTGCCTCCTTTCTGAAGCATGGACTCTCCGCTTGTATGCAGTACTTTAGATGAGGTCTGGCATATGTTGCATAGAGTACTTGGAACATACCCTCGCCTAATCATTTGAAAGCCCTTCGAAATGCCCATAGCATTCGAAAAGCCTTAGCTGTGGCTCCATTACAATTCGCTGTTGTTTTTACGTCACGGCTTAAAATAATTCTTAAGTCCTTTTTCCCCCTAACTTCTGGCAGTTATATGTCCCCCAGGGAGTACGATGTGTAAGACTTCTGACGTAGGTGCATTACCGCGCTTTTCTTGGAGTTAATTTCCAGACTCCATAGGTTAGCACATTTGGCTAATTTATCTAGATCGTTTTGTAGTACCAATCTATCATCGTTACTATTTACGGTTTTCCATATCTTAATATCGTCCGCAAATATTAAGGAAGATGAGGTAAGAATTTTCGGCACTTCATTTACGTATAACAGGAATAATAGTGGGCCAAATACAGTTCCCTGAGGTACTCCACTTACTACTGCTTGCCACCCTGACACTACACCAATAACCCTTACCTATCAGGTAGTCACTAAAACGCTCACATAAGCGTTGGTCTAATCCAAAACGTTTAAGTTTACTAAGAAGACCTAAATGGGATACCTTATCGGATGCTTTACTAAGATCGATAAAGACGACGTCCAGTAAATGGTTCTTATCTATACGGATCAGAGACTTGGCGCGTCATAATGAGCATCCCAAACAAACTACAGACCTTCATTAACAGTTGTCTTCGCTCAATACCCAAGATCAGATTGCCGGCCAGAAAAGATCAACAACAGGGATCTCTGGAAATGAGCGAACCAACCCACCAGGAACCGATTGTGCAACAAATAGGCAGGAAGAAATGGAGATGGTTTGACCATACGCTGAGGAAACCATCAAGTGACATCACTAGACAAGGGAAGGGGCGAGTTGGTCACCAGTGTGAGGGTGACTTGGAGGAGGTCATGTGAAGAGGAGATGAAAGCGTGTGGGCAGACTTGGAGCCGGGTGAAACAGTTAGCAGAAGACCGAACGCAATGGAGACACGCGGCTGAAGCCCTATGTTCCTCTAGGAACTAAAGGATGTCATAGTAATAATGATATAATTTACAAAATACTCTGCAATGACTGTGAGGTCAACTACGTAGGTCGAACTTGTAGGTTGGGGGTACTCAGATTGTCTGAATGTACATCATCTCATATTGAATTTTATTCCGATATCTAATCGATTCCACAGATGTATATAAATGAAAGAAAAAAAGTGTGAGTAACTTGATATGATTATGAGCAATAGTTTGTGCTCGAAACGTCATCAATTAATATTACTGTACAACACTGTGTGATTTATCAAAGTAAAATCTTATGTTTAGTGATATCCGAATGGCTATCGACCAAAGGACGTGTGTACTGCTCAGCAGTTCACTCCGTCCTGTATGGCTGAGTGGTGACGTGAACATTGAGAGTGGAGGATATGAAAAGGCTAGTTGTCTTTGATCATATGTGTCTGCGTTCTATATCCCGCGTGAAGTGGTATAATAGGGTGAGCAGTATTGAGGTTAGGCGTTAAGTGCTAGGTAGAGAGGGGAAATGTGTTGCGCACACCTGGCTAGTCATCGCCTTCCTCGACGGTCAGTTTGGAAAAACGCCGCTGGTGGTTAAACGAAAACATGGCATCAGACAATGAAGTCCACAACAGTTAATTTAAGCCAGTGACGTAATGGGGTGTAGACTTCCTGGGTGGGGTCCTGGGGACGGTAGAAACCAATGGCTGGAGACAATTGGTGATATGGCTCAAAGTGATCGTTCTCAATGGCTGGCTCAGATGCATCCACTCCTTGTGACTTATAATTTTCAATGAAACTATATTGTTCTTCGATATTACTATTCCTTTGTCTCACACCTCTGTTCACTGTCTCTATTATGCATTTCTTGTACTTACTTCTCTTGCTTTGTGTGGTACATGGAGGGAGTGTGGCGACTTAAACTGGTGCATATCGGTGCAAAGTTCTATGTCGAAAACAGACGGACAGAATAAGTAGATATGCAATGAAGTGGTTGAAGAAATCTCGATTTAAGGTACTAAAAAGATTAATTATGAAGCATCTTACTGACTTCAGACATGATACTGATGCAGACAGATCATTTACTGTTGTCACCGGATAGATAAAAAGAAAGAGTCTTGCAAACTACGTAGACTTTTGCAATTAGAGTTTATAAACCTGACCTCTGTGTACGAAGGAAATTTTTATTTATTATTATTATCTATGTCGAAAACAGACAGACTCGGTGATTTCATGAAAGGCAAGTTATACTTCAAAAGTGTTGGTGGAGTAGTAGTACATCTTTAACTTGGATGTGAGAAAAACACTGTGAGCATGGGGCCTGGCATTACGGTGTAGGTACCCAAGTTAACCCACCTCCCACCTACACCTCAAGAGTCACAAAACATATAATTTTAGGGAGGGCAACACGAAGATGGAATAAGTCAATGTAACGACAATGACAGTCAACCATTCCCCCTTGTGAGTCGGTGATCCAGCGTTCGATCGCCCAACCGACTACCCAATGTTAAACCTCGCTAAGTCAGTAGTAATCCCAATGAATGAAGATTGGAGTGAGGCTAACAACCTCACGCGGTAAAAAAAATAAGACCACTACCATTGAAACTTCAAAGTAGAAGCTTGAAGCCTTATGTTCCGCTTGGAATGCAAAGTAATAAAATAATAATAATAAATAAAAATTTCCTTCGTACACAGAGGTCAGGTTTATAAACTCTAATTGCAAAAGTCTACGTAGTTTGCAAGACTCTTTCTTTTTATCTATCCGGTGACAACAGTAAATGATCTGTCTGCATCAGTATCATGTCTGAAGTCAGTAAGATGCTTCATAATTAATCTTTTTAGTACCTTAAATCGAGATTTCTTCAACCACTTCATTGCATATCTACTTATTCTGTCCGTCTGTTTTCGACATAGAACTTTGCACCGATATGCACCAGTTTAAGTCGCCACACTCCCTCCATGTACCACACAAAGCAAGAGAAGTAAGTACAAGAAATGCATAATAGAGACAGTGAACAGAGGTGTGAGACAAAGGAATAGTAATATCGAAGAACAATATAGTTTCATTGAAAATTATAAGTCACAAGGAGTGGATGCATCTGAGCCAGCCATTGAGAACGATCACTTTGAGCCATATCACCAATTGTCTCCAGCCATTGGTTTCTACCGTCCCCAGGACCCCACCCAGGAAGTCTACACCCCATTACGTCACTGGCTTAAATTAACTGTTGTGGTTTCATTGACTAGTGCCATGTTTTGGTTCGACCGCCGCTAGCTCTTTTCCAGCCTGACCTTATGTCAGCTAACATAGCTCGTCGAGGAAGGCGATGACTAGGCATACGTAACACATGTCCTAACTATCTCAGTCTATATAACTTCACAACCTCGTCGATTGATTTCCCCTCCTTACCTAGAACCTCTATATTGCTCACCTTATTATACCACATAACACGGGAAATAGAACGCAGGCACCTATGGTCAAAGACAGCTAATCTTTTCATTTATTCCACTCTGAATGGCCAGGTCTCACAGCCGGCTATAAAGGAGAACGGAGCGGACTGATGAGCCCTTTGGTCGATAGTCGGATATCTTGTCTACGCCAAAGACGGCGTAAACTGGTAAGTGCGAAGCGAGCCCCCTGTATCCGTGCGGAGATTTCGTAAGCGATCAACCCGCTTGCATTGGCTGATGGTACTTCCCAAATAAGTGAAGCGGTCAAGTGAAGCTCTACCACTTCACTCCCTATTTCTAATCTAGGAGTCGGTGTAGTCCAGTCCTGTAACATCATCTTGCATTTGGTGGGAGCGAATCGCATGCCAAACCTTCGTAGATTGCAGCTCAAGGTGTTTAGAAGACTCTGCATTTTGTCAGCGTCTTCGCCTAGGAGGACTATATTGTCTGCATATTCCAAGTCAACGAGATTATTCCCTGGTAGAAAGTCAATCCCTGAGTCGCTGAAGTCACTTAGGGTTAAGTCCATTAGTACATCTATGATGAAGTTGAATAGAAAAGAGGATAATGGGAATCACCGACTGGATAATGCTAAAACATAATACAGTAATGGAACCATTTGAGCATGTTGTATATGTAGCTGCCTCTTATGCTCAGTTGGTTAGAATTAAAGCAGGTTCGTTGTGAGCTTTAAGCTTGTCATCAACCTGGGATATTTTTTAATTATATATAAAACTGTAAACCCACAGTAAGTTTTTTCAACGTAGAACTTTGCACTGATGTGCAACAGTTCAAGTTGCTACCCTCCATGTACCATACAAAGCAAGAGAAGAGTATATATATAGAGAGATAATAGACAGGAGTGTGTGGCAAAAAAGGGTAATAATATGAAAGAACAATAGAATTTTCAAGTGTTGGTTTTTAGGG